CTAAATGAATCATATAAATTGTTCTCTGTTTTATACACCACGACCTGATCTATTCAAACTACTCGGTTTTCCCCAGGATTTTGGGATTACGTTATATCAATTTTATTGCATCTTTTTCATAGGATTTCCCACTGTATCTATTTCCGTGTGTTTTCGTGTATCAATTTAGCGAAAATGAAATGAATAGTTTTACGAGTTTAACGTCCAACTCTTCAGCACCTAATTGACCTAATAAAAAGTAAAGCCAAGCAGTTTACTTTGAAGGTAATTTGTTCGATGGTTTGTTTGGGTGGGTGGGTGAGTAGGAGGTCGTGTCGGTTGGGTAAAATAGTGCAGGGTTCTAGTTAGCATGCGCCATTGGTTTGTTAGGGTCTAATTGGTTTAGTTTGAGTCGGCCAGAGACTGGGTTGGACTGAACTTGGCTGTGGTTTTGGTTGTGTTTGGTTTAGTTTGAGTTGGACAGGGCCTGGGTTGGGCTGAACATGACTTTTTCTACAGATTAGTTAGTGTTTTGATTTGGGTAGGTGTGTGTCGGGGGTTGATTTGTGTAGGTGTGTGTCGGGGGTTGATTTGTGTAGGTGTGTGTCAGGGGTTGATTTGGGTAGGTGTGTGTCGGGGGTTGATTTGGGTAGGTGTGTGTCGGAGCTATCTTTCAATAATGAGCTTGGGGTGGATTCTAGGTTAGGTCGTATCTTGATAGGAGTTCCTCCCCCGGAATTGAGACTGACTCGGTCTTGCCTCCACCCTCCCCTTTTAAGAGCATCTAAGACAATATGGGACTCTTGCCGAGAGCACGGACCTCGCTGAGACCCTACCCCCACCCCAATCAATGTTCGACTCTTGCTGAGAGCATCTAAGACAGTATGGGAGCACGGACCTCTGTAAGAACACCCAGGACTATATGCGACTCTCTGAAAGTGTGGACCTCGCTGAAAACACCCAGGACTATATGCGACTCTCTGAAAGCGCGGACCTCGCTGAAAACACCCAGGACTATATGCGACTCTCTGAGAGCACGGACCTCACTGAAAGCACTCCAATTAATCCAATTATTAAGTTAAAGAAATCAGAAGGTTGTTTGTATTTTTGTTCTGTTGGAACGAAATCAAAAACTAAAATGAGAAATCTTGATTTCAAAATCAGTTGGAGTTTTCCGCCTGAAAAAGACAATAATTTTGAGTCCATAATATCGTAAACTATTATTGTGATGATGGGTGGGGTGGGGGCACGAGTCCGACCTTGCAAGCACTGGCCGTGTCATCCGATTAATTTGCTACTTGGTAGAGAGAGGGATGGTCTAGCAAAGATGCGATTGGGTTAACGTCTTTTAAGATCTATTCTCATGCTGCCGACACGTGTTTCGAAAGCCTCATCATGACGACGGTTTTTGGAAATAGAGGTTAAGACCGATCCTGTTTAGTACTGGATATTAGGTGTTAAGCGAACTCACCGTGAAGGAGATAAAAAGAATATTCTACAGCGCTGCACGTCGGGGCAGATGGTTTGGCTGAGTAAAGACAGCGAGCTTACTAAATAGGAGTAGGACAAAAATTACTTTGACCTACTTTATTTTTTACCGGGCCTCGGTACGCAAACGCATCTGTTCCTTGGTCGTCGTCCAAAATTCATACAGAATCCGCCATCACTGTAACAACTTCCGTTGGCGCATCCGCCCCATCCTGTATTCATACAAGCTACACCTTCAACCTAGAATAATAGCAATGATATGGAGTTTAAAAATCGTATTATGATACAGGATTAAACATGGGTTCCCTTATTTTCATTTAATTATATAAAAAGCGAAAAGCCATCTTTATATTTACCAAACAATTCGTATGCAGAAGATTGATAAAAATCACGTGACATCGGAAATATTTACAACCCCAATCCCTATTACGAGGTTAACATACTAAAGTAAAACAAGGTAAAAAATATAGCAGTTTCGGTCTTTTTTGAGAGATGCTGGTCGCAGGGCTGCATCAGGAGTTCATACAGAGTGGGCATGATCTGTCCCTGGAGCGACTCTTGTCATGTAAATGCCAAGTTTTTAGATTTAAACCACAAATCTGCGATCAAAATGATAAAATTTAAGTCCTTACCGGATCCACATTGTGTCCCACCAGCATCAAAACAAACACTAACAACAAAACGCTGGATTTCATCATTCTGTTTGACTATGGGTTGCTTTTTGCTCGTAGTAGCTGACAGTTCTCTAGAATTTGAGCTTGTGATGGCGTCATTCCTGTTTTATTGCCCCTTGAGCATCCGGGATTTTGTCGTAAACAGGATCTTTGTGAAGAATATTTTTTCCCGGTGCTGTCACGGTTAGTTTGATACACCACTTTTATTTTAGACTGAAATGAAGTGGAGCTTTACTACCTAATGTTCTGACCCTTATAAGGACTGTGAGGAGAACAAAGAATCCTAAAAACAGGTGATGTCTGGTGTTTCTATACAACAGATAATAGTACAACAGTGGATCACTCTCTGGAATATAACTCACAGTTAGGTGATGTCTGGTGTTTCTATTAACAGGCAATAGTACAACAGTGGACCACTCTCTAGAATATAACCCAGAGTTAGGTGATGTCTGGTGTTTCTATTAACAGGCAATCGTACAACAGTGGACCACTCTCTAGAATATAACCCAGGGTTAGGTGATGTCTGGTGTTTCTATTAACAGGCAATAGTACAACAGTGGACCACTCTCTAGAATATAACCCAGGGTTCGGTGATGTCTGGTGTTTCTATAAACAGATAACAGTACAACAGTAGACCACTCTCTGGAATATAACCCAGAGTTAGGTATTGTCTGGTGTTTCTATAGACAGATAATAGTACAACAGTGGATCACTCTCTAGAATATAACCTGTTAGGTGATGTCTGATGTTTCGGTGGACCACTTGAATTTATTATAGCCCGGTGTGGTGTATTAGAAACAACACTTAAAGTTCGGACACTACGGAAAATTAAACACCAGTTAAATATCAAATGTGTTGAAGTTTTTTTTTTAAAAGTTGAGTAATTATATGAAATGTTCAATTCCCAGAAAAAGTGTAACAGGATGTGTATTTCCTGACCACAGTGGTGGTGTCAGCCTCCTGCACCTGATGGTACAAGTAGAAAATGAAATGAAATTAATGGAGTTTTACGTCCTACTTTTCTGCACCATGTGAGCTAATGATGACGGACAACGCCATGCAGGGTGCAATGAGGGAAATTTTGCCAGGACAGCGGCATTAGCCTGCTCTTTTTCGATTTCAAACTGTCGAGGTATCTTTAACGTGCCTATAGCACAACGGGCCCCGGTTTATTGTCCCACCCGAACGACTAGACGCTTTTTCCATGTCAAGCCCCTCTTACCTGCATCACTGACAGGGGGAAATCAGGTTGAAAAAATCCGAAAGTAACATCTAGACCTATGCCGGGATTGAACCCTAGACCTTCAGGGCAGGGGATTGAACCCTAGGCCTTCAGGGCAGGGGATTGAACCCTAGA